GGGGGGGGGGGGGGCAGTCAGCAGGACGAGGGCGGGGCGCGAGCGTGCCGACATGCGGAGCGGCAAGGGGCCGCGCCGCGGGACGCACCTGGCCGACGGTGAGCACCGACCCGAGGAAGCGACGGAAGAAGGCCTCCTCCAGCAGGGCGTGCGATATGTCGTGGACCGGCTGCTGCTGCCGCTGCTGCTGCTGCTGCTCCGGCCCCGGGAAGAGGTGGACCTCGACCAGGTCCAGCACCGGCGGCGTGCTAGTGGCCACGGCCCAGCGAAGGACCGGCCCGGGGAAGAGCCGCTCGAGGTCCTCGCCACTGAGGATGACGTGGCCATCGGGCACCGGCGAGCGGGGACTCGGGTCGGGGCTGTGTGGGAAGGTGTGAGAGAGAGAGACGGAGAGAGCGAGAGCGAGCGGGGGGGGAAAAGGACAAGGGGAGGAGGGAAACACACTAAACCAAGAGAAGGTGGCCGCCGGACTGGAGGAAAACTTCCGACCCGCCGGGCAGCTGGTCACGCAGCAGTCGATAGTCGTCGGGGGTGACGGCCGCCCGGCCGGGTGTGAAGCCGGCCAGTGGGCTGGCGCTGGCCTGCAGACACAGCGGCCCGGCGCCCCGGAGAGGCTGGCCCACCAGCAGCCAGTTGGGTGCGGGGGAGGGCGCCAGCGCGCGCGGGCCGGCCGACGCCGGGCAGGGGGGGCCCGCCATCGGCGGCACCATGTGGCCGGCCACCACGTCCAGGGCCGCGGGAGGGTCGCTCGGCAGGCGGCCCACCGGACGGCCGACCGTGGGCGCCTCGGCCCAGGTGACCCGGTGGACCCGGGCAAGCAGCCGGGCGCCGTGGGATTCGAGCGGCAACGCCTGCGTCGGGGGGTCAGTGGGGCAGCCGGGCCGGCAAGGCAGCAAGCATGCGGGACCGCCAGGGCCCCGCGTGGGGAGGACGCACCCGGTCCAGGCGCAGGGTGGCCCCGCCATGTGCGGCCAGGAGGTCGCGCCGGAGCCGGTCCGGGCACAGGCCCTGCCGCAGGGGCTGCCCGGCCGCCGGGGCGAAGGACACCTGGGCCGAGGCCGCGAGCGGCAGGCCCGGGGCCGGGCGCAGCCGCGCCGGCGAGGGGCCAGGCACCCCGAGCCCCGGGCCATCGAGCGGGTGAACGGCCACGGCGAAGGGTCCTACGCGGTGGCTCGGGCTTCGGGGCGAGGGGCATCAGCCGTGGGCCGACAGGCAGGGCAGGGGAGCTCGCACCCCGAAGGGGGGGGGGGGGGGGCACACGCGGCAGGGCACGACGCACCGGACATCGAACAGCGCGCCGTTGACATGGAAAAGGGCCGCGCCCTGGGCCAGGTCCTCCGGGCTGGCCACCCGCCGGAAGGCGGCGGGCGAGACGAACAGCGTCCCTTCGGGGCCGGTCACGGCCCCCGGGACCGGGGTCAGCAGGACCAGCTCCGACGCGTCGGGGCTCCGGCACAGGGCCACCAGCTGGTGCGCCTCGCCGGCACCCCCGCGCGGGCTTTCCACATAGAGGGCGGTGGGGGAGGCGTCCTGTCGCGCCAGGCCGACGGGGACCTCCCTGTAGTGGCGGTCCATCAGACGGATGACCCGGATCGAGTGCCCGGCCGCCGGGAAGCGGACAACCTTCCCCCGGTGCGGCCGGGCGTTAGGCGGCGCGGGTGTCAGACGCGGGCGGGATGGGGCGGGGCGGGACAAGCAAAACCGGCAGGGCAGGCGGACACACGTCGCCCACGCGCAGCGGCACGCCGGCCAGCTGGGACAGCATCTGGGCATGGTCGAGCTGGCCGGCCTCGACATCGGCGGCCAGCCAGGCGACGGCCAAGTCCGGCGGGGCCGCGCACGGGGTGAGCACCAGCGGGCGCCCCTGCAGCAGGACCGCCAGCGGGGCCAGCAGCTGGAGGCTGGCGCGCAGGCCGGCCCCGGGCCCCGGGCACACCCTGGAGTCGGCACGTCAGCACACCACGACGCAGGGGCGGCAGAGCCAAGGCAACAAACACCAGAGCCCGCGCGTACCGGATCTCGAAGAGGCGGTCCTCGTGCGCCGCGTAGAAGGACCGGCCCGGGGGGGTGGGCTGGCAGGCGGCCAGCGCCCGGGCCGCCGGGCCGCCGGCCGGCGCGATCAGCACATTCAGCTCGGTGTCCAGGGTGTAGATGGCGTCCACCGGGTGGTACATGCCGGGGCCGGGGTGGTCGGTTGCGCCCGCGGGCGCCAGGGCCACCACCACCGGCGCGTGCATCAGGGCCGGCCGTGTCGCCGGGCAGGCGACCAGGATGACATCGGTGTCGGGCCCGGGGGTGCCGGCGGCCGCGGTGCCGGCGGCCGTGCGAAGCTCAACCACCTCCAGCTCGAGGCCGTCGGCCTCCAGGCGGAGGATCTGCCCCGAGGGTCAGGCGGGGCTCAGGCAGTCGGGCGAAGGCCGGGGCCTGAGTGCGTGCGTGTGGGCGTGTGCGTGTGTGCGAGCGTGTGGGCGTGCGTGCGTGTGGGCGGGCGAGCGGGCGAGCGGGCGCACTTGGGCCAGGCGCAGGTGGCCATGCGTGGCGATGGCCGCGCGGGCCGCGATCTCGAGCGTGGAGAAGAGGACGCCCGGGTTGTGGCCGACAGGGGCGCCGCCCGGCCGGGCCGGCCGCACGGCCAGCCCGATGGCCTCGAGCTCGGTCGGCCGGGCGCACCGCGTCACGGCCGTGTGCCCGGCCTCGGGCTCGTATGCCGCCAGGGCGGGGGAGCCGGCTCCGGCATGTGGGTCGGGCCTGGGCTCGGGTCAGCAAAGCACCGGGGCCCGATGTGTCGGCCGGCCGCGGGGGCCGGGCGGAAGGCGGCCCGAGGCCGGGTGCGCGCACCTCGATGTGGGGACCGGAGCGTCGCCGGGGGCGTCTGGCCGGCCGCAAGAGGCGCCGATCGCCCCGGTGCTCTGGTCCACGGGAGAGTCCATGCTTTCGGAGCGTGGGGGGACGGGGGGGACCGGGGGGGGGGGGGGAGGGGGGAAGGCGCACTGGGGGGGGGGGATTGGCAGCGAACCAAGCCCGTGTCGGCATCCCGGGCCCCTTCAAAGATCCGGGCTTTTTGGCTGTGACGCAGGGACAAGCGGCGGCGGCCGGGGATCGGGGGCCGGGGGGCGGCGTGTTTCGCGGGCCCTTCACGGCGGGCGCCAACTCAAAGGGGCAATAAAAGAGCGTCCAATAAAAAAAGGCCCCTTTTGATGTGCCCGCGCTGGCACGGTTGGCTGTTTTTTTTTTCTTCCCAGGCGCGTGAGAACCGCCCGGGGCGGCGGGCGGGAAGCCGAAAAAATAAATGCCCCCGGGGCGGGACCTCCTACAAGCTTCGGCGTCGATGGTTTAGTGGTAGAATTGCCGCCTGCCACGCGGTAGACCCGGGTTCGATTCCCGGTCGACGCAAGCCCTCTCTTTTCCTTTTTGCCTGCCCTGGGGCCCGGGCGGGGGGGCATTGCCGCCGGTTGCGCGCCGTGCCCGCGCCAGGTCCGGGGCAGACCCGGGGGGGCCGCCGGCCCCGAGGCGTGGTGGGCGTGTGATGCGGATGTGGGGCGGTGTGCTGGCGGGGGCGGGCGGCGTGGGTGGCGTGGGCTCCCTCCGCCCGCACATGCGCCCGGAACGCCGGGGGCCAGGGGAACATGTGTGTGTGTCGTGCCGTGCGTTGTCGGTGGGGCCCGGCCGGGGGCCGTCGCGAGACGAGGGGCGGGGCCATGTGCCGGCGAGGCGTCCATCGCCCGGCGGAGAGGGGGCAGGGGGAGGAGGGCCCCGCATGTGCACCTGGGCCAGGGGGCGTGGGAGGTCCCTCGGTCGGCTGGCGGTGAGCGTGCCCAGGCGGCTCTGCCGGGGACGTGGCCGGCCCGCCGGGCCCTGGGAGGCGCGGCGCCTGGGGCCAAAGCCGATGGGCCTGCCCGCCGCGCGCGTGGGGGTGCCTTGTGCGGGCTGGCGGTGAGAGAGGGACCAGCCGCCGGCCCCTGCTGGGCCGGGGGACATGTGGCGAGGCGCTCGGTTATGGCTATGCCCCGGGCGATCGGCCGGCGGCTGCCCGGCAAGAGCCACCCCGGCAGCCCGGGAGGCGCTGCCACTCCGCGGCAGGCGGACGAGGGCGGGCCGCGAGCAGGGCGCCATCCGGGCAGGCGCGGCGGTGGCCTGCCCGCCATGCCGCCAGCCGTCGGGAATCGGCCCGAGCTTGAGCCAAGCACGGGGGCCGGGGTCGAGCCCGACTGTGCCGGTCCCCGGGGCAAGCGAGGGGCACCGGTGGAGGGAGGTCGGGCGAGCCGGCCAGCAGCAAGCCACGACAATGGCTGCCGCCGGCGCCGGCAGCCCCGGGCGAGGGCGGGGCGCTTCTTGATCGCGGGGCCCCCTCCGGCGGGCCGGCCAGTCCGGGGCCCGGCGCGCGTCCGCCAATCTCGATGTCCAGATTGTGGATCCAGCGAGTTGGCAGCACTGCCGGCTGGCGGGGCTCCCAGCGGGCGCCCGGTGCGATGTGCTTCCGGGCCCGCGCCCGGGGATGTGGCCCGAGCTGGGGGCGCGCGTGCGCGTGCCGGGGGCATGCCGCGGGATCGGCCGGCCTGCCGGAGGGGCTTGCGGCGCCGGGCACATGCCTCGGCGATCGTGCGTCGCCCTCGGCGGGTCCGGGGGAGCTGTCCATGGGGTGCCTCGGACAGGGCGGCCGCCCGGCAGGGCGCCTGGTGTGATCCGGCCGAGCAGGGCCCAGCGCTGGCGGCCCCGACGCGCGGGTGTCCGCCGCCCGTCGGACAGGACCAGCGCCCCCGGGTGCGGGACGAAGCGCCATCATCGGGCCGGGGGTGCTTGAGCGGCCTGCCCCGCCAACAGCAAACCCCCGGGCGGCCCGGACTTCCGCAGGGAGGCTGCCGGGTGCGCGTCGCCGGCGGCCGCTGGCCGGGCACGCCCCGAGAGCGGCCAGGGGGGGGCCCCCGGCGCAGGCATATGGCTTGGGCAGGCGGCCAGCGCGCGGCCGGGCGCCGCGCCCCTTGCCCTGGGGGGGGTGGGGCGCTCGCCGGCTCGGATCGGGCGGGGTTCCTGTCTCCCTCGTTCTGGGGGGCGGCGGGTCCCCTCGCCGCCGAAAAATAAATGGCCCAACACGAACCTGGCACTGCGCGGGTCGCCGTGCCCCCCCGAGTGGCCGAGGAGTCCCCGCTGAGAGATCGGATGGCCCTCTGCCCGCCTAGGTTGGGAGAACACGCCTGCCGGTGGTGCGTTGTTCCCTGTGCGCCTGCAAAAAGAACATGGTGATTGGAGTGGGACTCGAACCCACGCGGTTTCCCACCAGTGCCTTAAACTGGCGCCTTAACCACTCGGCCATCCAACCTGTTGATGGGAAGCGCCCCCGCGCGAGGGCATAAATCCAAGAACACCTCCGTGCGCGCGCGCGCGCTCCCGCGACCTTAGCTGGGCGCCCGGGCGTCGGGCCCTGCCGCCGGCGCGAGGGAGGAGGGGCCCACACTTCGGCGTGGCGGGGGTCGGCGCTTGGGCCTGTGGCGTCCCTCGTCGGCGGTGGTCCGCGAGGCGGGGGCCACCCGCGACAGGGCATGCCGCGCTCTGTCGGGCGGGCGGAAAGAGGCATGCCGGGGCTGTGTGCACTTTCCGCGGCCTCGCCGGCGACCTGGCCCGGCATGGGGCGTGCCCTGGCGCCACGGGGCGCAATGCGCGCGGCTGCCGGAGCTCCGCCGGCCTTGGGTTCGGCGGATGTCGCAGTGCCGAGTGCGCCCGGCCGGGTGGGGGGCGATGATGGCCAGGCGCCGGGGGCCCGAGCGTCGGCACGCTCAGGGCGGCCGGGCAAGCGGGCCTGCCGCGGCTGCCGTCCCGCGGCCGGCCAGCCTGCTTGGTGGTGTCGCATCCGACCGCGACAGATGCGGGGAGATAGACAGCGGCAGAGAGAGAGGAAGAGGGCAAGAGAGAGAGAGACATTCTCACATGCATACACACGGCCAGGAGACCCGGAGGGGGGGGACGCGGCATGGGTTCGATCGAGGTCCACTGGAGCTGGGGGGGATGTGTCGCTGCAGCGGCTTCCCGGGGCCCGGGCGCCGCATTTGACTCCCTGGGGGGGAAGCCCCAACTCGGACGCGAGGCGCCAATCTCGGTGTGTGCGCGCGCGTGCACCCTGGCGCCGGACCGGCTACGGGCAGCACCTGCGGCCGCCATGCCCCGGGAGGGAGGCCAGGAGCAGCCGTTGCACCCGCCCGGAGGGACGGGAGCTGCGCCGGGCCGATGGCCGGCACGCCGCGCGGCCGGGCCATCTTCCGCGACCGGGGTGGGGGCATCTCGGCAGCGGGGGCAGGCGGCGCCCGTGGATCGGTGAGGTCGAACAAGTATGCGCTTGGGGGTGGGGAATCCATCAGCAGGTTGGATGGCCGAGTGGTTAAGGCGCCAGTTTAAGGCACTGGTGGGAAACCGCGTGGGTTCGAGTCCCACTCCAATCACCATGTTCTTTTTGCTTGCCCGCGCCCCGGGCGATTGTTCTGCCAGAAGGGCGAGGGACCCGAGGGGGGGACACACGGCGGGGCGGGGACACACGGCGGGGCGGGGACACACGGCGGGGCGTGCCTCCTTGCGGGGGGCCGGAGCGTGGCCCGCCCCCCCGTCGTCTCATGCTCCCCCCCCGGTCCTGGGAGGGAGGATCTGTTGGGGGGATGCACGCGGGCGGGGGAGCGTCCGTCCGGCCGACCTGGGGCGGAGCGCCGCACCGGGTGCGCGGCGAACCGCGCACAGTGTTTGTGGTTTTTTAAATTCTGCCTCCACATGTGTGTGCGCGTGTGTGTGTTTCCGCCGCGCCCTGGGTCGCGCTCCGTCGGCCTGCCCCGCCGCCAGGCAAAAGGGCGCGGCCGCGCGCAAAAGAGGAGGCGTGCGTCGACCGGGAATCGAACCCGGGTCTACCGCGTGGCAGGCGGCAATTCTACCACTAAACCATCGACGCGATCGCTGGGAGGATGGCCCCGGGGTGGCCATAAGTCGTGGCAGCTGTTGGAAGCCCCCCGCCGCCCGGGCCAGATCCCGCCAGGCGGGGCCGGTCCACCCACCCACCCACACACACACACACACCAAGCCACAACAGAGGGCGGCCCCCCCCCCCCCCGGGTTGCCAGC